CCGAAAGCACCGCTCCCTTTGGCGTGAACCACCCGCTCGGGTATGCGTTCCCTATCGAAGTGTGCCATCTCTTCCAGGAACTGAAAGTCTTGCAATAGTGCCGGTCCGTGGTATCCGGCCGTCAACAGACTGGTCTTACGGCCCACCGGACGGCCTAACAATCCTGTCATCTCAACCTCCTGTCATTACACAGATGTTCAAATTGTTATTCATTTTAAATTTTAAGTTTTCTATTAATTTATTATTTTTATAATGATATTAAGTTATACTTAATTATATAGTTATTAAGTTATACTTACGTTAAGCGATGTATTTGTCGCATTACTCTCGATGGAGATTATAATAAATGCGATCGCAGTATATATCCACAGATTATTCATTTTTCTAATAAGAGTCGTGAAAAGTTAGTTAAATCCAGGAAAATGTGTGACAAGATTTTTTCAATTAAAATCAAAAGACAATCATTTGCTCATAAACCAAATGACAAGCAAATTAAAATTTTTACTCGACAATTGGAATAACTTAATGGTAAAGCAATTATAGTGCGATTATATACACTTGTTATAGTCGAGTGAAAGGACAAAAAGAAAAAACGAAAAAATGTGGTATAATATACTGTACGTACGTATGTATGTACTGTACTTATGGAAAATTTTTAACATTAATAAAAATCTAGAAAATATTGTCACTTCAACCAAACTTGCACTAAACATTTTAGTTAGTAATCAATTAATTACCTGAAGTGTGATATTTATTGACTACAATATTCAATAGTAAGTCATACGATATACGGCTAAGCATATAGGAGACGAAAGTTGTCTTAATTTGTAACTTGTTTTACAATCAATGAAAGTGAAACTTAATATTACGGATATGACATCTTCAATGAAAGCGCGATAGTTATATATATATATGAATATATTTATAAATTCAGGTATTAGGTAATTATACAGTATACTGATTTAAATTTGTTATTTCTTTTCACTTATAAATAGCAAAAATATTATTTGAAATTCAAGGAAATTCTATTATTTATTTATTTTTAGTGTTTATAACTGAAAACAAGTTTTATAGTGATATTTGCAGTCATTTGATCAGATATACATACAATTAAGTAAGAATAAAAGTCTAATAAATTTTCGATTGATTCAACTAATAGTGACTGTCATTGACAATGAAAACTGCACACGTTTTAAGCCATGAATTAAAAAATAAAAGTTTAATTTGGTTACGAATATCCAATTGTAATCGATGAGTCTATCCAACAATCATTTAAATAGTCTGTTATGTCGTATAATTATTATGAAAGCCATTGCTTCGGAACCAAAAAAAACTAGTCTTTCATGTAATTTGTATGACTTTTTTGAATTTAATCCAATTTTATTAATTAATGATCCGTACAATTGGGCGTTATGTCATATCAATAACTTCGAATCAATTAGAAATAACTAGT